AAGTGCTAGTTTATATTGCTCGCAGTTTTGTTGGTAAAAAAGATGCAAAAAACAATGAAAATGGATAAAAAAAGTTTCCCGTTACCATGGTAACTAGTACATGAATTTTAGCATGGTTGTTCAAATGCTAAAAAGATGCAAAATCCGGGCAGATTTCACAGAAAAAGTATTAAAACAAGATTCTACGATAATTGAAGTAGACGATTTTTCAAAAAAAACAAAAATTGATATTTTTTATATAGTTTAGGTTAAGTCCCCCCTTAACGACTTTCGAGGCATCAGAAGACAGGCAGGTAAGATTAACAGGTTTTTTTTGGGAAATTAGGGTAGTATTTGGTGGGTTGGGTGGTTTACTATTGAGCTTAGACTTCCCCTTACTATTAGGTTTCCTAGTAACGTTAGCAGAAAGATCAATATTTGGGGTGGGTGGGTGTGGATAAATGGGATACAAGGGGGATTCATGGGGGACATTTGCCTTGGGTAAGGGAGGGGGGGTGGCTGGTGAATGGGGGATTCGGAATTGAGAGAGATGGTAGGCGAGGAAGGGAGGGTAATGGGAATAGTATGGGGGGATCGTGGTTGGGGAGGGTCAATTGTCGTGGAGGGTGGGGGGTGGTTGTCGGAGGGGGGAATGGGCATTACTGGTTTGGGAGGGGGTTTGGTATTAGAGGAATCAGTATCAACCTTGGTTTCATGAATAGGTAATGGCTGATGTTGGGATTTAATAGGACTTGGTCTATAAATATTGTGGCGGCCACTGTTCTTCATTGGCGATGAAAAATCCAACCTCGACGCAGGTAATCGACTGCGGGGAAAATTTGGACTACCATAACCAGAGTCACTATTATTTGAATATGGAATATAACCAGGAGTGTGGAAACTTGAAGGAATCGGAGAAGGATAATAGTTCGGCTGAGAAAGAACTGTTTGCGAAGGCAGTAGTTGCTGGCGATCATTGGGATCTTTAATTTTCCATTGAACTTTAAGGTTTAACTTGTTATTAGAACATGATGACGATCAGGTGGGATTAACAAGGTGATACGATGAAATAGAATTATAAATGGCTTTGGGAAACATTTCATTTGAAGAATTTTCTTCCGACATGGACCATTCAATTTTAACCTTGATCGACTTGGTGGAAACATTAATATCCCATGATAATATATCATTAATATTACAGCTTTCGATAGCAATAATGGCTTGATAAGGTATTGGGAAATAGGAATGTTTGATGTATGACCAAGGAGCACCAATCTTTATACTAGGTGACTTTGGAAAAGGTAGAATTCCATCTCTACAGACCATATTATTTCAAGGATAAGCAAAGGGCAAAATTCGAATAAATTATAATAATTAGGATACCAAATGTAATAATTAATACACTATAGACAATATCCAAAGTGAAAGATGAAATTTTCGTCGAAAATATAAATCCAAACAGGATAAATTGTTCACCAAAATGTTATTTGGAGCAAAAGGAACAAAACAATGTCTTACTTGACCAATATAAACCAAGAATTTGATAGGCACTTATAGTACGTATTCCATATATGGTCATCTCTTGCATAATACTGATGAGCAAATACACAACACTCACGAGCATATACATGATGCTGAAGAGCAAATACACAACATTCCCAGTACTTTGTTACTGCATGATTCGAAGTAATAAGTAGGATTTGCAAAATGGCGGAAAAACAGAGCAGGTATGCAAATCCTTTAGCGCATCAGTCGATATACTCTGCTGCTGGAACGTGCGACTTCAGTGTTTTACGTTGTAGTCGAGGTGACTGTGGGACTGATAACTGTAATGGAAGATTGTATCATTGTTCATTATGTCCTCCCAACAAATGTGCGAAAGAGCATCCTTCGCGAGTATAGGACCATTTCAAAAAAGTTCACAGGGAAAACAGGATTCATGAATTTCCAGGTAAATTATACTTGCAAATTTTTGCGTCATTAAAAATTTATCATTCACAATTAATAATGTGCAAATATGTAGAAAAGCTGTAAAATGCCTTCCTATTATAGTGTAAATATGAGTGGGAAATGTTGATAATATAAATAAATAAAATGATAAATGGGACATCAAGTATATTTTTTATTATTAATAATGTGAATTAATATGGTATGAAATAATTAGCAGTTTACCACAATATACAATAATACATATAATTATGGAATGCCATGTGTCCAAAAATTATTTAACGTTAATTATATCATATCATGACTAAAACTGTCATTATATATAAACAAGACGCTCTGTGGAGCGCTAACTCGCTGGGGCTATAACAACTACGCACATTACTGTACAATGTACATGATACATACAGTATACAAATAATGAATGTTTATGAGTGCAATGGTAAGAATATTTTCATTCGGTGAAAGATGGAATGTTCCATTCAACGAGGCGACAGCCGAGTTGAATGGAACGTTTCATCTTTCACCGAATGAAAATATTCTTACCATTGCACAAATAAAAACATTCATTATTTGTTTTATATAATACCAAAATAGACCAATATTAAAAGGTTTACTGTAAGCTCCTGCCATTTTCACGAGTCATATTTGCATTAAATCCCATCTACTGAGTTTCGAATATCGGGTTAAAATAAACTGCGATCACCGTACAAGCATTTTGACGGATGCGATTTATCGAAAACACAAAGAGTGCAATGGAATAAAACGTATAGTACAATTGCACTCGCATGGAACGTATTCCATTGCACTCTTGGGAAATGGAATTTTCTATTCAATATCACGTGACCATAAACAGCCAATTAAAAAATTATCAGAATTCAATAAGGTATTATATAATACACAGTAACACAGCTCTTTCAATTGAGATTTAAGGTTTTCCCTGAGCTAAGCGGAAAAGTCGAATACGAGCGCGAAAGGCTAAAAACACAGTACTAAAATGCGGTAGACCCCACAGGTGGGCGATTTGTCGACGCTGACCAAAAATAGCGGCTCATGTCTTCTCGAGTTGCCATTTTCACGTCGAAGAGTGAAAAATATAGTCTTTCAGAGAATATTTTAGCTGTTTACTATCATATATGTTTGTGAAACAGTTGATAATCTTACTGAGGAAGGCCAGCGGTTTCTGAAAAGCTAAAGTAGGTTGGAATAGACTATATTTTCACCTGGGAAACATGAACTAAATGGATATTTACATCGACACTAGATTTTGCACGTGCAGACAGAGCTAGTTGGATTAAAACAGATGTTAAGAAGTAAGTGAAAATGTGAATTTTGTGAATTATATTTTCATTAAAATGTTTGAGAAGGGCTGTTAATGCCAAACTACAAGTGTGACAGAGCTGTCAGTATACCCATATTTCATTGTTTATGTTGAAATGACCTATCTTCTTTGAGGTATAGCTTAAAAATTAGGGTATGCTCATCACTTGAAATTAGCTTTAAATCAAAGTTTTATCTATAGTCTTTTTATTAGAATAAAATCATTCATGGGAAAAATGTGCCAAAGGGTTGAAATTGCCCTTGTAAATGTGCACTATTTTTGACATGTTTGGGTTAGTATTTTGAAAAGGTGTTCTATAAAGAAAACATGTCTTGAACAATACTGGTTGACCCTTAAATTATAACTAGTGTCATGTAAATCACAGAAAATTGAAAAAAATCTGGTGCATACACAATATTTTGGATTCTATGAGGTCCCGAATGGGGCTTATTTCAATGTTGAATCTGTTTACCTGGAAAAACTTAGAAAGTTGAATAAGTCAAGAATTTGACTATGCTCATCATCCAAAACCAGGTTTTTCTAATTGCTTTTTTACCTTGGTTTGTGGCAATACCAGTTATGCGACCATGAAAAATGCGCGCGGCATCCATCCTCTTATCATATGATAACTTAACTTATTTTAGTGAGTTTGTTAAAGTGTTGTGCTCACTATATGCCTGTAGTATCTAAGATTTATTCATGGCATTAGATGATAAATTTATGTTCTGTTTTCTTTTATTTTTAGGTGATAGTATCTGTTCACTTGAGTGTTGGTATCAAATTTTGGTCAAGTTTTAATTATTATTTCACATTCCTTTATTCAAATATCCAAATAAATGGAATATGACATCAAGCTGGAGGACTAGATCCTGTTTCCAAACTTGTTTTTGTAAAAATAGAAAATAACTTATGTTGTTAAATATGTTGTTCTAATAAAAACTATTGTTTTCTATATGCATATTTAATTTTTAAAATTACATTTCATTCTTTGTTAAAATGTGTACCAGGAATACTGAAATCTTTCAGATCAGCTAACAGTACTTTTATAACTTATATAGCCAAGTGTCCTGTCTATTTCTGCTCAGATTAGACAACTGATGGGTAAAATATTAGATTAGAATTTTTCAAAAAAATGAGCTTGCTTGTTTTCAAAGCATAAAAAGCAATAAAATAAAGCAAAAGTACTTATTTTTAATTTAAAATCTTTGGACTATACAGGTTAATGTTTTTCACTAAATAGGACAAAGTTTTTGTTCATTAAAATGTTGTTTTATCAGCTTTAAAACTAGGTAAAGCCACAAAACACTCCTAAATATATGTCGCCATATTGATTTTCTTCGCGCATGCTCAGACAAATTGCCCACCTGTTGGTAGACCCTAGAAGTACAGTTATATTTAGTACGCTACATTCTTCTTCAAAACTGTCAGCCGCCAGTTGGTCTAGCCGTCTAGGATTAAACTGCGCTTTAAAACGTTCAAAATAAAATATTTTGGGGCTATTGGGCTCAAAATACTATCAAAATGAAGCGAGGAGTGAGACGAATCCACTGGTATATGGCCGAAAAAGAGAAAACCAATGATGCCAAAGTTATCAAGGGTCAAACATACTGCATTTTTTTATAATTAGCTTAATAAATATTGAGCGATTGGCAACATTACAATTTCGCTTGGCTAACAAAGACAAAGGCCATGAATCGCTAGAACACTGTTGTTTAGTAATACATTTGACATTCGTAACAACTGCCCTCGATATTTAGTGGGGCAAGTCGTTCGCAAAGTTTGCCGGCTATTATTATTATTAGTTTTATATGATTGCCACCACCGTAATTTATAGGAATACGGCTCAGGGTACTAATCCATACTATTCTGAGTATAATTCTCTGCATCCTTTATGTAAAATAAGATATCGATAAATATTCAAAGGTAAAGCTTAATGCCTCAGCACGTATTTGAAACACTAAGTATGTATAGGTCATACAACCTGGTTTATAACGTTTCAACTTAAACTTGTGCTAGTTGAGCTCTATTCCGGGTGCAAGAATTGCTCCTGGCCTCTGGGTGCAATTCTCTTTTAATGTCCAGCCCCCCCCCCCCCCCAATAGATGAATTTTTCCGCAGGGTGACCCCAAAGTCGTTTCTGAGGGGTTAAGCCTGTCGGCATCTTTTGATGTATGCGATTTCTCTGAGGCGTAAGGGGAAAATTTACAAGAAGGGTCGACATTTGTGTCAGCATTTTGATATTTTTTTTTAGAGGTTAAAATCTTACTGACCTCATCCATAGAGCGGGGATGGATATTAAATGCAATGGCCCTCTGTTTGTTAATACAGACCAAACTGCTCCTTGCACAGCTCTAGTTATTGCTTCTTCCCAGTAACATTCACCACTCGCCATAATTCACCCTTTTTATAAATTAAAAAAAATCGAATTTTTGGACACATGGCGTTCCATATATAATATAGTAAAAACGTTACTTGCCATTAAAATCCCAAAACAGTCTGATTGATCTTGTTAATTTGCCTGATTCACTGTTTGATTGAATCTCAATCAGCCTTTTGTATTTATACTGTATTTTATGTCTATAAAAAGGATTAATTTGCGAAGCAAGCTAGCTACCTAGACGTTGCATTTACTGAAATTGTCCATATCCATCTTTCGGTTCAGCAGCGCTAACACACACAAACATACATTAACCCTTCTGCATGCTGGTAACAAGCACTGGTCAAGATGGTATAATTTGCACATTATTTTACCCCACAAATTTACTTTTCAGTAGTAGGGTAGTATCTCACCAGTATCTCACCATCTGTCTGCCAGCATCTCAATGTCTGTTGCACAGATGTGCCCTACTTTTAATTAGTATTTTACTCTGTATAATGCCATACAATGTGTATTTTAATTGCCAATGGTAATTAGAGTACTGTACTGTCAGTCAATGGGTTAAACTGAGGGGCTGGAACTGTGGTACACATACTGCATGTATGTTGTCTAATGAAATTTCGATTTTCTTAATACTCTATCAGCTGGAGGAATTTGTAGAGATATTCTAAATACTTGACGTGTTGGTTGTTTGGTTTTCTGACTAAAATTGTACAATTGGTGATACCCATCCAGTCATCTTGAAAACAAAACAAATATTTACAACAGCACTATAATTCCTTGCTGCAATGGTACTGTATAAGGTATTGATTAGTGTGTTATATGTGTATACTATACTGTAGTACCAGTACAGTGCAGTACTGCATGTATTCTTAATTTATATTCATTTGTATGTTATACAATCATGTCATTTAAGGTTTCAACATACTAAGATGCAAACTATCGTGCATATTACTGTCAAGCCGGCATGAATCAGATGAGAAAAACCTGCAAGACATAACACATTATCACTGTTTTGGATGTGAACATGGGTTCAAGCATAGGGACATCCGGCATAGAGGCAATCCGGACATTCGTGCCACACATAACCTTCAGCTACTGACACCACAACTATCCAAAATTG